CCCACCGCCTCGCCCGCCCCGGTACCCTAGTTCCGTCCCGTGCAAGTCACGCGAATTAAGCCATTTTTATTTACCTTGGCCTAGATCTTGTGGGTGGCTTTTTGTATTTTTTATTTCACTTGAATGGATGTGTTAAGTGGCTCCACGGCCGGTTCCAGGTTCCCCACCGGGAGAGAACACACGCTGGAACCGCAGGCCCGAATTCCCAGAGCCCTGGAAACATTGGAAAGTTCTCGGTGGGGCGGCCCAGGGGCGGGGTGCGGCGGGAGCCCTCCCCGGTGGCGCGCGTGCGTGGGCCACATTCTCCACGCGCCCTCGACGGAGCGCCCGCATTGGATTCGTCCATCCTTTCCCGAGATGAACTAAGCCCATTTTGACATTTGTCTTTAAGATGTGCGTTTTAAAACACCTTGCTTGATGACCAAAACGTAAAAGACAAAAACACAACTCCCCCCCCCCCAGGAAGCGTGCAAAAGTGACACAGGTACCCCCCCTCCCAGCCCCCGACAGGGCACGATTCCTCCAAGGGTGGTTCGGATCCAGAAGGGTGCTTGTGCATGCTCGTACACACGGGGGAGGAGAACTCAGGTTTAGGACTCGGTAGGAGCTGGTGTCTGTCTAACCAGGCTGAGAACTCGTGGGTTCTAGCAGGGCTCAGCCACTGGATCACAATAACAACCCTACACTGTCTTCCTCCAACGTGCAGTCGTTTTTTAATGTTATGTTGTATTAAGATTTCTTTGTGTGTGTGTGTGTGTGTGTGTGTGTGTGTGTGTGTCATATTGTTTAGCTCCGGAAAAAAAAGAAAACAAAGCAATTAAAAAGATTGACAGGTAGGGTTTGTGTGAGACCTATTTGTAATTGTCAGGGTGACGTTGGCGAGAGGAGGAGGAGTAAGAACTGAAGCAGGAAAAGCAGCTCGATGTGTCTGTCTATCAGTTGAGACTGTCTGAAAGCTCCGCGATCCGAATGTGTGTTATATTTCACTGAAAAGAGGAGCGAGGGAGAGCGCATCTCCTCTCTCGCCGGAGTTTGGGGGGCCGCGCGCGCTCACCTCGCCCGCCCAGCGGACGCCCGCCCCGCGCCCCGCGCCCAGCCTACTCCGCGGGGGGCGGTGGTGGCTGGCCGGCCGTTGTTGTTGTTGTTCTGGAGGTGGGGGTGCTTTGGGGGATATTTTTTTTCCATTTTTTTCTGTTGGAGGATCAAGACCGCCCCCCCCCAAAAAAAATCCACGATCAAAATGTGTCCGCACTAGATTTCTCCCGGAAGAAGCGGCGATCCGGAGGGCACCAAGGGGCGCTCCGGCGGGTGACAGACGCCGCTCGATCCGTGACTGTGGGAAGGAGGAGCGGCGCTGACATCTCCCCCGGCGGCGCGTGTACGTACGGGGGCTCCGCTCCGCTGTCCGGTGTGCTTGCTTCCTCCTAGGCGAAGTGCCGGGACGCGAGGACAGCCCGACCGGCCTGGCTGGCGCACAATGAGGGAGCGGCGCCCCGAGCACTAGCCGCGCCCGCCGCGACCCCCCACCCCGCCGGGAGACAGGGGCCGAGAAAGTTGCGCGCGGAGACTCGCGGCTCGCCGAGGAAGGCGCGGGAGCGCCCCG